AGGGAAGACAGACTCTGGAGAGCACAAATTCCTTCTTTAATCTCTTTGCATAGTGGGCCTGGGGGAAGAGAAAGTGTAAGTAAACAGTTATCCCCTGGTTGGCTGGCTGTCATCCACAGATACTCAGTAAAACTCTTCAGGTTTAAAGATACAAGCGAGACTGTTAAATTCCGTGTCCAGCATTCATGGTTACCTTAGCACTTCTTCCTCACGGTGGTGAAATCCACGAGCAGCTTTTGCTTTTATTGTCAGAAATGTTCTCCTGCTCTGATGGCTCAGCTCTGCACAGGGCATCCCCCCTCCTTTATCTGTTGTTAAGTATGCTGTTCCCTCTATTCAAAGTCTCCTTGGCTATAAATAATTGCTATCTTTCTGTAAAGTCTCAGCTCAAATCCTCCATCTGTCAAATTGTGGCTGTTTTTCTGGTCAAGAACCATCTGAACTATGCATACTGTAACAGGTGCAAAAAACTGTTTTCTGATAACTTAGGCTTATTTATTTATTTATTGGTGTATATTCATTGCACATGGTGCTAGCTTTCGTAGTGCCATTTTCATACAAGTCTATAACATGCTTCATTAAATTCTCATGTTCACCTTATCACATGATAAGATTGCTGTCTGAGATCTAGCCATAGTGTCTCTTCAGAGTAGCTGGGGGTTGGGGGTGGGGGGAAGAATGGCACCTCTGTACCTTCAAGGGCATTTATCAGAAGTTGCAAAAACCACTTTTGCTTGTATCTCATTAGCTGTAACATAGTCACATGGCCACATTCAGATATAAGGAGTAGCCCTAGCCTTGCCCTGAAATTCAGACATTATGCTATTGAGGATAACCATGAGCACAGATTTCCCGAGAGGGAGAGGACCATGAGAAGGAATCTCTGCCACCCACATGATAATGTGTTGTTGTACACATTAAACGAGATAGTAATACTAGAGTTTGAGCGTGTTTGACACACAGTTCATGCTCTGTTAAGTATTAGCCATTGTTTTTATAATTAAGTTTGATAGCCATCCATTCCTCAATCTCTTCAGCATATTTTGGGCTCCCTTAGTGTTGAATGTTGCCGCTCTATTGAAATCCCTCTGCAGCATCTAAAGAAGACCATTACTCAAGATGGTTTCCTCTTTGTTAAACAGCTCCGCAAGACAGGGAAATCTTTACTAGGCTGGCTGAAGACTTCCTTCTTAATAATTCATCTGCTTTGGCCCTTATCCTGCCTCTGGAGACAATATGAAATGAATCTTTATTCATCTTGAGACTTCAGATAGGCGAAGACAGCAGTCAGGACTCCCACTTTATTTTCTGGCTCTAAACACGCATCTCATCATCTCATTTTTTATGTAGCACAAGGTGGGTGAGCCTCTTTTATAAAGGGCCAGATGGTAAATATTTTTGGCTTTGTGTAACACGTGGTCTGTGTCATAACTCCCCCAACTCCGCAGTTATAACGTAAAAACAGACATAGATATGACATAAATGAGCAGATGTAACTGCATTGCTACAATAAAACTTTATTTATAAAGTCTGGTGTCGGGCCAGCTTTGGGCCTCAGGCTGTAGTTTTCAACCCGGTTTTAGCCCACAAAAAACTATTAACACCATTAATCTTGGCTGATGTGCCCCTATTCTGATGCTAAAAGCTTCCCGTGCATCATTCCCCAATTCCTTTATCTGTTTTTCTTATCTTACTGCTTTGTCTATGACTCCCAACACAGCTTGGGTCTCCATACTTCTGTCTTTTGATTATTCATTCTCCTAATTACACTATCTACCCCCAATAACTCTCCACCTTAGCCATACTACCTTGACACCCCCCCCCCCAATATTACATATCCTTAGGCCATACATTCTTTGAACCCTCATGGGGTGGTCCTTTCCTAGTCTCCCTCATAAGCATGTCCATGTAAGAAAAACAATCAATCTCATTTTACATCCTTTTGCTTTTCAAAGTTGTTAGAATGTGGTCCACGTTTTTGGTGTTTCTAATGTTTAGACAATGTCGTGATGCTCACTGTAACTTTAACCCTCATGTTATTTGACCACTTCTTTTAAAGTTAATCAGGACTGCCCAAGAGAGTCTAGATAGAAATCAAGTTGTTGGTTGGCTATTCGCTTTTGACATATGTAGCATATATGTTTTTTCCTAATGTTATAAATGTGGAAAGGATAATTTAAGCATGAGAACTCATTGTGGTCATAAAACTGATATTTCAAGGAGCTGATTCCAGTTACAAAACAGAAACAAAACCCAAGCAAACCTAGTGAGTTGTCTATTGAGAGTAAATTCATCGCCATGTCACTGTAACAGCAGAGCCACTGATCTGTGTCCTTTCTTGTGAATAGTATAGAATAACAGACATACCATCTGACTTGGTATCTTTCAAAGCATTTCATTTATAACCTTATTGTTGAAGGTAATTTTATTTCTATTTTGCAGGAGGGAAACTCAAGTCCTGACTGTACAGGATTGTCCAGAGATTCCAGACCCTGTGTTTGGCTGCTTTTGTGTATTTCCCTTCACAATGCTCTTCTCTGAAGGTGCACTCCACCTCATTGTTTTGCTGACTCCTGCTTGCCTTTAATAATGCAGCCCGGTTATCATCTCCAGGAGACCCACTGTGAAAACTAATCTTGCCTCATGCCCACCATCTGTTTTAGGTATTCTTCCTCCTTGTTGGCATAGCCTTGTTGGTAACATACCTTGACTGGTCATTTATTAGCTCATAAAGAAATCAAGGGTGAGATGCTCGCCTCATTTCATTTTGCACTCAGTAAACATTTGTTGAAAAAATGAAAATCCTGAGATGAAGCCAAGGCTAGGGAGTCAGTTCCCTGTGATGTTTCTCATTCCTGACTACAGCTGGAAGCAAAACAGACATCATTGCTTCAGTGGACTGTCTACAGTCTCCAGTCTCCAGCCTTCTGAAACAAACTCAAATAAAAGACAGGCTACTCCCAGCAGCCGTGTGTCTATAAACAGAACCTGAACCAGGGGATCTCGGACTGGATGGAAGAGAAAACAGCACACTTCAAGATTAGGAAAAGCTTCTGGAGTCAGGCTTCGTAGATTTGAATCCTTCATCATTCCTTGACTTAGCTTTTCTAGGCCTTGATTTCCAGCTTCCCAAGTACTGAGAGCAGAACTTAATTATATTATCTGTGTTATACAGCAATATACAACAAAATTTATGGCAAAAAGTAGACATATATTATTCCATATGACTCTGGTTAGAAATTTCGGAGAGGCCTTATATAATTGAGAGTCTCTCTCTCTCCCTCCCTTTCTTCTCCTTTTCTCTCTCCCTTTTGGTTTTTCATGAAGCCCAGGCTTCAGCTCTATTCACTGGAAGCCTTGACTGAGGCCAGAGGAGCCTCTCTCAAGATGATGTGCTCACATACCATTGGTGGGGAGCGGGAGAGGGGGAGCCGAAGCAGCAGCTGAGCCAGAGCCCCATGACCTACTCCCAGAATTCCTCACGGTTCCTCCCTCAGCACATGGGAGTTTGCTTGACTCTATCAGGGTTGCATGCAGGTGCTGGCTGTCTATCCCTCAGTATAATATGCAGTGTGAGGAAGAGGTTCAACTTGGTTAAAGAAAAAAGGATGAAGCCATTAAATCAGCTAAGCCTTTTAACATACTTCACCTTCATAAATTAAAGCCTTTTATGTCTACTTGCTTTCGAATGAACAATTTCTTACTTAAATGAAACCAAAGGAATATTTTCTTTAAGTGTGTAGTTTGTGAGGTGTGTGTGTGTGTGTGTGTGTGTCGGGGGGAGGGGGGAACAGAATTGTTAACTAAAGATGCATTTTGGAATATTTAATTCCACTGTTTAATTTCTTTCTTCCTTTTTGTCTCAAATCTTCTCTGTTTGCATTTTGGTTTTGTAAATGTTTAAAATTAACTGAATTATTAATGATTTTACTTGTGATGCTTTTCTTCTAAGTGATCAGAGTGTACACCATTAGTCTGTCTTTTAATAACCATATAATGATTCACGTAGAAATGACCTTGTGACCGAGTTACTGTCCCAGGTCCCTCCTCTTGACCTCTGCTCTGCCCAGACAGTTCACATCAATGTTTATTATTAGAAATGCCACAGCACAGTCACTACCTTTCCTTTAAATGTTCAATTATCTTGCTAAGTGATTTTTAAAAATAAAGAAAATCATGCACATATTTAATATATTTAGGTCTTCTGTTCCTCTAAAGATAGACATGTCTAGAATTTTTCTTCTGCACAAAGGTCTTCCTTTATTACTTTCTGTAGTTCAACCTTGCTGAAATTATTTTGGTTCCGCATGTCTGAAAAAATATCTTACTTCATCTTTGTTGAAGACATTGCTTTGCTAGTGAATTCTGCTTAAATAGGTTTCTTTTCTTACTCTACTCTTTCCTTGCTTGGATTGTTTCTGATGAGAAATATATTGTCTTACCTTTGCACCTCCTGTCTCATGGCCCTAGTGCCTTTGGCCTTTCTGAAGTTCTAGCTTTTTCTCTTTTACACACACACACACACACACACACACACACACACACACACACTGGCTTCTGCTTGGGCCTGGAAACTCCTTATGCAGTGAGCTCAGGTATTCACATTGTGCTCACTTTATTCTTCTTTTGCTTCCAATATCAACATTTTGTTTTGACTGTTCGTTGTGTGAAAACCATTCTTTTTTTCTTTTTCCCTGCTTAGACTTTATTTAATGCACCAGGATAAATCTGATTTTTGTACCCAATTTTTGCTAGAAGCAGAAGTTCTGTATTGTCAAGCCAAAATGATAAATGCTTAAAATATTCAAACTAACTTTTGATTGCAAAACTCTCTCCTCAGAATTGATCTATATTTTTCATTAACTTAAAATTATCAACTTGCTTTTGAAAAGCTATTTAATGGCATAATGTTTGACATTATCTCTTTTCTTACAGGGAACAGAAAACACTCAAACTGGATTTTTAAATCATTGCACATTAACAATAAACCACAAGTCGCAGAATGTGATCCTGAACAAAATCCTTCTAAAAAATTAGCTTCAGGCAACAGAGAAAAGAAAATGGACCTGTTGTTTTGAAATATCGGTGTAAAGCAAACTGTTCTTGTAGGAAGTCACGACTGGAAAGTTTTGTTTGGCTCTTATTATACCTGAATGAAAGGAACTATCAGCTTGCTTCTCTCAAAGACTGGAATTATCTGAGATTATCTGAAGTCTGGACATGATCACCAGAGAAGGAAACACAGAAGAGTAGCTGAAGGACGTTGGTCAAGATGACGTCCGAAGAAATGGCTGCTTCCGTCCTCATCCCTGTGACTCAAAGGAAACTGGCTTCTGTTCAGTCAGGGGCAGAAGAGAGGAGTGAAAAAGATGCTGGTATTCCTAAGGCACGTGTTGGAGCACAGGGTGCGCTCATCCCTCATACCATCTCACAGTGGAGCAAACCTAAGGAAGAGTCTTCTAGAAGTAATTTGTCCAACGTCTTCTCAATAGCAAATGGGGAACTAGTCAGCGATGAGAATCACAATGAAAAATGCTGGCAGGAGAATGTCCCGGATTCCGTGAAAACCCACATGGTTAACTGCAACCTCTTATTGCAAAGTCACCAGCATGAGCTTCCCCGGAGCCAGCTTTGTGAAGCCCGTGACTCTGTCACAGAAGACCCGTGTTTGCAACCTGGAATTCCTTCTCCACTGGAAAGGAAGATGTTCCCTGGAATTCAACTGGAGACGGAGGACTCTCCCATGGATGTGAGCCCTTTGGGAAATCAGCCTGGAATCATGGAGTCCAGAGGACCTCACTCTGATGACAACATGGCGGTATTTCATTTCCATTACGAAGCTGACCGGACAACATCGGATGCTTTTCATACCCTGTCAGAAAAATTAATTTTGGATGACTGTGCAAACTGTGTTACTCTTCCTGGGGGGCAGCAAAATAAAAATTACATGGCATATACTTGTAAACTGGTGGAATTGACAAGGACCTGTGGTTGTAAGAATGGGCAGCTGAAGTGTGACCATTGTACCTCGCTGCGTGATGAATATCTGTGCTTTGAAAGCTCCTGCCCGAAGGCCGACAAGGTCTGCTCAGGTGGTGGCTTTTGCGAGGATACCTTTACTCAAGGTCCTGTTGCCAAGACGTTTCTGAGCCCTATGGAGGATTTCTCTGATAATTGTGAAGACGTAGACGATTTCTTTAAAAGCAAAAAGGAGCGGTCTACTTTGTTAGTCCGAAGGTTTTGTAAAAATGACAGGGAAGTTAAGAAGTCTGTGTATACTGGAACAAGAGCGATCATGAGAACCCTGCCTTCTGGCCGTATTGGGCTGGCTGCTTGGAATTACGTCGATCAGAAGAAAGCTGGTCTCATATGGCCTTGTGGGGATGTGATGGAACCTCTGCCAACAATGGACATGAGGCAAAGTGGGAGCCAACGTCTGTCTGAAGTCCAGTGGTGTCTGGTAAGAGTTGGGGTTTCTTACCATCACCTTTTTAGTTTTACCCTTTCTCCTTTCCCTCACCCTCCTTTAGGCGTTTTGGATATTATAGGGTCTTAGGAAATAGGCCTGGAACTTGCTTTTTACATGGCCAAGCTTGTCCTTGAACTTGTGATCCTCCAGAATCTTGAGATTACAGGTGTACCTGTTTCCATTATTTCAGGAAACTTGATTTTTTTTTAATTCTCTATTTATATTGCTTTAATTAATGGAAAAAGATAGAACAAGATCTGTCAAGATGTGATTCTTACAGGAGTCATTTGCAGTTATTGGGATTTAGATATTTCAATTCATAAAAGGTCTCAAGTCTGAGTTGATTCTGCAGCGATTTAGGCCATGAAACACACACAGGCCTATCTACGTAGGGAGTGGAGATTTTCTGATGACAGCAAAATGGCTTTGTCCATTAGCTTTGGAGCGGCTTTCCCAAGTCTTGTGTGTGTGTGTGTGTGTGTGTGTGTGTGTGTGTGTGTTTCGTGATCCATGGTGGCCTTTTTGCTTTAGTGTCTTGAAGGACCTTAAATCTTGAGGCCTCTACTTTGCAGCCAAAGTTCTTTTCTCTTAGACTTTGAGTGTGTGTGTGTGTGTGTGCTGTGTACCTACCACTTCTATGAAGTCTACAGATATAAAATAACACTTTAAATGCACTGAATGCAATAGAAAATGTCAGAAAAGGATAAAATTATGTTGATTTGCATTTATGAGACACAAGATGATTTTGAAATTGTGAGGTGGTGATTTAAGTGCATCTTTCTTACCACACTGGCCAGTGCTACCTAGCAATGTGATAGCTTCTTGTTCTAGGAAATCCCTCTAATCCGGGCAAATAGAGACAACTGCTCACCCTAAATAGCCGTAAGATTGTAAGATATCCACCATGACCATGACATGATGTGAAAAATTTGTGTTATTTTTATTGATGACATGATCAGTTACTTCTGCTTTGAGCTATCTTTGTTGTAAAAGTTCATAATTATAGACATGCTAAATTTCTACTTAAGATGAACAAGAATATTCTTTTTTTTAAAATTGTTATCCAAGTTTCCAGGTCCTCTGAATTTTTACACGACTTTCTCTCTTTAACCACATACAGCCAGGTGACCTTCTCTGGACTCAGCTGCAGAAGACATCACTATATACTTCGCCTTTCGTTGCTTTTTTTTTTTTCTTTAGTGTGATAGAGTCTCCTGTAGTCCAGGCTGGCCCATGCTGGCCTTGAACTCCCTAGTCTCTGTTTCTAACAAGTGCTGGATTACGAGATTGCACCACTACACCCCATCACCTGCTCTGTCCTTGCTAAGCATTCTTGCTTCCTTCAGTGACTCTCTCTGGGAAATTGTTTCTAGAATGCTCACTTTGCAGCTCTTCACACTTCCTTTATCAACCTAAAGGGAGCTTCCAAAGGAGAGTTGTGTTGGCTGCGGGTTTTAGGATGATTAACAGAATGACTATGCTTCCTTCCAGCTTCCCCAACCCTGAGGCTGTTGGGCAGCAGCTTCTAAACACCTTCACTGGTCTGGTTAATTTACAATTGAAAGAAACCAAACTGTCTCCTCCCTGCTCTGTCTCCGGAGGCTTGGAGCGGATCACCATAGTTCTGTTAAAGTGGGGCTCAGGAATGTTTCTTCCCTTTGTGTCAGCTGCCATCCTAGAGGCTGTGAGCATTTTTATTGGCACTTATGGTATAGCTGGGCATGGGCTAGCTGTCCTGTTTTTATCCGGAGGATTCTGTAATTTTTTCGACACGCACGCTGTACCTCGTCAGAAAGTCACTGCTCTTACCCAAAGTATAATCTCTTCTTCACATCTGTCTCTTTACTTTAGAGTCTGGTGGAAATGTAAGCAAAATTGGCACAGCTGAAATATATTTACTTGCCTTGGGTCTTGTAAATTATGCCCTTCAGTACCCCAGCCATAAACTCCCATTCTATTTCTGTTTGTTTCACGTGTATCACAGTAGTAAGAGCCCTGTTCTCTTTTGTCTATATAATGCAAACACAACTCCAAATGCATAGAAAACAAGGACAATGTCATGGCTGGAGACAGACTCTAGAGGTAGACCGCATTTAAATTATGGCTTGGGATCCATAAGTGATTGGCAGGTCCTAATTATCTTTCAAGTAAGCCAGGCATAAAGGCGCTATTGTAGGCCACCCTACAGCGAGATGCTCTCCTTAACACAGTGCTGAAAGCAGTGAGTGCTCCTGTCCTCCCGACCTTTAGTTTCTTACTTGGTGGTGGACTCATTCCCACCTCGTCCTTCTCATTGGTGGCCTCTCAGGGAAATTTATAGCAGTATGAATTCTAATATTCAGATGACTCTATAGCTGCAGGCTTTGGGTTCATTGAAGTCCTCGTGATACAAATGGAAAGTATTTGGAAAAAAAAAGTGCTAGTACTGTAGTGTAGTGATAGAGAGCTTGCCTATTGAGTATAAAATCCTGAATTGAAATTCCAATAACCATTGCCTCCCTCCCACCCACAAATATTTAGCCAGGCGTGACTCCATAGACCTATAATCTCAATGACTCAGGAGCCTGAGGCAGAAATATTGCAAGTTCAAGGCCACTTAGTGAGACCCCATGTCAAAATAAACACAAAAAGACCCTGAGGATATAGCTTAGTCTCGTGGAGTTTGCCTAGCATGTTAGAGTCCCTAGTTTCAGTTCCAAGTAACACACACACACACACACACACACACAAACACACACACACAGACACACACCCCTCTTATAAGCTTAAACAGCTGTTTTTTCTGGTCATTATTCCCCCACACAACACAGCACAGCACAGCACAGCAACTATTCACAAAGCCTTTATATCATATTAGTTGCTATAAGTAATCTAGAGGTGGTTAAAAGTATATGCAGGGATGAATATGTAGCATGCACACACTAACCAATTTTATATAAACGACTTGAATACCTGAAGTTTTGAGTTTCCATGGCTGTCTGAAAAACAACTGTATTACCTCGGCCTATAACACAGTGCCCAAACAGTCCTTCCTGTGCTTTGCTGGCATGTGTTATTCATCTAATTAGTTCTTTGGCATCATATTTTTTGTTTCTGGGTGCGTTGGTCAGAACAGTCCAGTGAATTTATATTTTCACAGCTGTGTGGAGAGAATGGGTTTGGATGAAGACATTAATGAGGATTCATGCTTGCTGACTAACCAGATTGTTAGCCTCCTCCTGCTTGTAAAACATTAAAGTCTCCCTCCCCCATATATACACCCTCTTGCTCTAAATCTATTGGCGCAACAAAGTAGAGTCTTTGGCAAGTAGCTGAAGTCTGCAGGTTAAACATTTGACTAAGGGCGTTTATTCTTTTCGTTGTTTTGTTTTTAAGTAGCATTTTAAGATTTATTTATTTTATGTATGTATGCTCTATCTGCATGTACACTTGCACGCCAGAAGAGGGCATCTGATCCCATTACAGATGGTTGTGAGCCACCATGTGGATGCTGGGAATTGAACTCAGGAACTCTGGAAGAGCAGTCAATGCTCTTAACTGCTGAGCAATCCCTTCAGTCCCTTTATTTTGTTTTTTAAAATTCTCACTCTGTCTAAATCTTGTGGAGTTCAAAAGCTTCAAGTTATCTTACAGGTGGGCTCAAGCACAGAAAGTGTCAGTGTTTGTCTTGACAAATGTGCCTGTGTAACCCTAGCTCTACTCAATAGTGGTGGAAGGGGATCTGGGTAGCCAAGACAGAAACACCACCAGCTCTCCTGCTAGCACCCCCAGGATTGCCCTTCTTTGATCCATAGAGGGGTCACACTGTATGAATACATATGCCAAACCAGAGAAGACTCATACTGAATTTTAAAAAGAACAAGGAGTAATTTAAGACTATTTTTATAAAGGAATACAACTCATGTTTAAAAACCTTACTAGAAAAAAATGTAAGTAAAAAAAGATAGTCACAACCAGCTTCGTGTGTCCTGACTTGCCTCTTCCTAAAATGCTGGTTCTTTACTGCCAAGCACAGAACATCAAAATTAAGAGGCAGCGACAAATTGGTCAATAATACCTTTGTTGAGATAAATGTGTTGGAGAAAGGAAGGGAGGGAGGGAGGGAGAGAGGAAGGGGGGGAGGGAGAGAGGGAGGGGAAAAGGGAGGGAGGGTGTGTCTTTATGCTGGGAATTGAACCTATGGCCTCCTGCTTGCTAGGCAAGCAATCTACCACTGAGGTATTTACAAATGGAGCTAAACCAAACCTTAGGAAAATACTAATGCCGCTGATATATGATTCACTGCTGGTAAACTCAGGTCCTAAGTTAAAGATGTAACTCTTATAAATGACCCAATCATTTGACCTGCCCCAGCCTTGTTTGGGGATTCAAGGAGACCCTAGGGAAGGGGGCAAAAGAATGAAGGAACAAGAGACACAAAGGACGAGAGCAAGTCTAGGGTTCTGATCAAACTCTACAACATTAATTTCAGGAGGCAGGTTATAAAGACACAGCAAAACGGGAAGTTTAGGCAAGGGTCATTGCTTAGGGCTAGCCCACTATTGAATCCTCATTGTCTAAGACCATCCCACTGTCATATCCTTATTGCACTAGACCATCCCACTGTCGTATCTGGCTTCCAGAAAATACCAGACGTTCTTTAAGTTCATGGGACCTGAGACCTGCAAACGTCCTTTCTTAACTTTGTACTGACTAGGCTTTTCAGAACAGCAGGTAATTTCCTGAAGTTCTCTGGGTCTGGCTCCTGGCACTGGCCAGCCTTTGCAGAAGCAAAAGAAAAAAAAATTTTTTTTTTGAGCATTTGATTGCCCTGGAGATCAGTGACAATTTGATCCATGAAATAATTACAATTTCTTCCGGTGCTCAGACTAAGCTGGAAGCCAGTGCCTGGTGAGCTCCCTGGTGGCTTTTTCCTCTACTGAAGCTTCAACCGCATTTATGACATAGGGTTAGGAAGAAGCTACTCTTTCCTGCTGATTGTTGTGTGTGTG